ATTCTACATCTACTATTTCTGCAAATTAGAATTATGTCAGCATTCATATGACTGCCCCAGCTCATGATACCCTCAGTGTGAATTCTACTCAGACTGATTTCAAGCCAAAGTTCCCACACACTGAAAGTCATGGGAATGAGACCTTAAGATAGCGTATTTGTATCCAAATCAAACATAATTGGTGGAACCTGGAATATCAGTTCAGGACAGGGCTCCCTGTAATGTGGAACTAGTGCTATCTTTCACAAAGTATGAGATAAATCCCTCTGTTGGAGGTGCCAGGCAGTCGCTAGAGGAAACTTTATAACAGAACACAATTGGTTTCTTTATATCATGTAATTATCTGTCACTACAGTCGTTGTCTTCCCCTTGGCTACATAACTTAACATAGTGTGGAGGTTTCAGAGAAGCTGCTAGGAGACAAGTCTCTCTTGATAGGTTGATCTTCTAGTGTGTCACCCAAGTGGCAGTAGTCAAAGCTGAAACCCCTGAATGAAATGCATCCACTTTCTTCAGGAGTAACAGTCACATCAGTTGAAGAAAATAGATACCACTAATGGTCACGAGAGTGGAAAAAGTCCTGAAGTGCAGTAGTTGAAGGCAACACTGAAGGAAAATCTTTCACAGGCACTAGCAGTGAAACTCAAGCTAATTCTGATTAATACTGCACAAAAGAAAGCAGTGCTAAAACACTTCTCATTTTTTCTTACCTTGAAAACCCTCTGATGAAACAATCCAAAATGAAACAAGATAGTATGAGAAGACTCCCAGGTTAGAAGGCACTCAACCAGTTAGTTACTGAGGAAGAGCAAAGGACAGTTACAAATAGTACTGTAACCAATGATGCAACTAAGACCAAAATTGAAAGGAAATCTAGAGGCTGGACATGCACAGCTGCAAAAGGAAAGTTTGCTGCTGCACAACGCGCATGATTTTGGAATGTGAGAAGTATGAATCAAGGTAAACTGTGAGTTGTAAAGCAAGAAATGGAATGGATAAATATTACAATACTTGGCATGAGTAAACTAAGGTGGACTGGAATGGACTCTCACGAAGTGTTTTACTCTGGTGATGACAAGAAATGGAGTGGCTGTAATACTAAGACAAGATACAGCACTAGCAGTAAGGGGCACTGTAGTTGAACATGCAGCAAACAACATTCATGGCTACAGAAGAATTGCATTACTGTCAACAGTGAAGAAACTGAAATTGTGAAAAGATTATGCATATCTTGGCTCATCAGTTCAGAGAGAGATTGCAAACCAAGAAATTCAAAGTAGACGGAGACTCGGAAAGGCATCAGTGAAGGAATTAGGGGGGAAAATCATCAAGTGAAATTATGCTTTAGTGGACACAAAGACCACCCACACTATTGTATTCTTAGTCATTATATATGGGTGTGAAAACTGGAGAGAGGAAGAAGCTGACCAGAACAATATAGATCCATTCAAAAGATGGCACTGGAGTAGAGCTTTGTGAATACCCTCTGCTGACAGAAAGATAAATAATTAGGTCCTAGATCAAATCAAGCCAGACATTTCCGTGGAATCAAAAGTAACAAAACTGAATCTGCACTTTATGAGGAGGCAAAGTGCACTGGAGAAGACAATCATGCTAGGGAAAATTGAAGGTAGAAGAAGAAAAGGAAACCTGAACATGAGATGACTTGACTCCATAAAGGAAGCCACAGCCTTGAGTTTAGAAGAGCTGAGCAGGGCCCTGAAGGACAGGACATTTTGGAGGGTATTCATTCAAGGGTTGCTATTTGTCAGAGATGATAGCACATAACAGCAGCATCTTTTCCTTCTATATCATCTAACTATTTTCAAGCATGGATTATCCACATTTGTTGTTAATTTTAAAGAATTTGCATTTGTAATTTTTTTTTCAGAGACACCAAACAGATTTCTTTCTGTAGTATTGGGAAGCTTGCTAGGACTAGACTTGACTGGATCTTGGGCCTTGGGTTACTTGGAAAGAAAAGGCAGATTACAAGTAAATTAAAATATAGTATGTAAATTATAAATCTGACAGGAAATTGATGTCTGTCATGCTGTAAAAGGTTTCTTTCTGTATTGGGACAGTGAGTTCCTTAGGCAATTTTCTGTAGGAGAGTAATTGATCATAGAGCAGCTTCAGTCTTTTATTGAGGGGATTCAGTGGATATGTTCTGTTTTTTAGCTACCTTAGGAGAGTGTTAATATAAATACCTGATCTGCGGTTAAAACGAAAAAGCAGTTGTTGGAAGAATTGCTTCTTAGTTGCCTTTCAGTCAGTGTTTCTTGTGAAACCTATAATTGAGCATTACATAAAGCAAGTCTTTATTACAATTCTTGTCAGCAAAAGTGCTGAAGAAAAGAAAGTGAAGTTCTGCATTAGAACAATTAGAGGGGTAATTGTAAAAGTCCTGAGAAAGCTTTGCTGCTTAAATCTACACAGTCGGTAACTAAATATTTTCACTTACAATAAATGCAGGCCTCGGATTATTGCTTTTTCCACAGTAAGATCATCTTGTTCCTTTATATGAGCTCTGTAATAAGTTTAATCAGATTTTACTTTTGAGACTCAAACTTAATGATAGTGTAGAAACTTCATCATGACTCAGGCAGTATGTTGTGTGCACTGTAAAACATTAAGGTTCCTCTAGTCTTCAAATAAAATATTCCATCAGAGTTGGATAAAGTTCTGCAAAAAAATTTTTTGTTCTATCGGATACTGATATTTCAGAGTACTTTTTTCAGGCTCTCCCACTTCCTTTCTAATTACTTTCATATTCTCTGCAGGAATATAGGGCTGCCAAAACCATTGTCCTTATTTTGGAATAATAATACTGTTTGGTTTAAGTGTTGACCAGTGTGCACTAACAAAGTAGCTCTACTTGCATCCAACCTATTTATAAAGCTAATTTCCAGGAAACTACAGGGGGGTTACTAAAACTGACAGGCTATTACAAACAGCTACCTCTAGGTGGGAAAAAGCTGCTTTTTAAGATTCTTCTGCATGTGGGTCATAATCTTCTTTATGATCCTTGGTACCATATCTCCCACCCCCACCCCCAGTATTTTATAGACTATCCTATCTTAATATTTTAGGAAAGATTAAATGCATTAAAACTATAGTTAAAATTGGCTTTGTGAACAATTTCATATTAGTGGACCTAATTTTCTTACTTAGGTAAGAAACATAAGAAGCAGAGATTTTAAAAATTAAAGTATGTACATAACCTGGTGAGCACCTCATTTTCGTTGCTTTATTGTTCAACTAAACTTCAAAAAGGTGAACAAGAATAACTCTTGCCATGATGCTTATATTAAGGATTCACTATGTTACCTCTTGTTTCATTTTGCCCTTTAGCGCATCAACTAGAAATGTGGGGTGGAAAATGCCCCTTAAAAGTATTGACTTTTAAAGTGTGAATAAATCCCTTGGAGGGCAACAAAATTGGTATCTCATTAGTGCCCAGTTAAGTTCTGCTGTGGAAATTAACATTTACCATGTTGATAAAACTGCCAATAGCCAGTTCCTGTTGGCATTGTAGTAAATAGCTTCAGAACTTGAATGGAAACACATTGTGAGGAAATAGCACTTGCTTGCATGTGCTGTATGTGAAATGTGTCAGTGGGGCCACGTTATGCAGAGACATTTTGTTATAGGAAGTGTGCTGTGTAGAAACTTCATGTAGAGAAGGGACATATCTAGTATTTATGTGGTGATTTATATTTTTCTAATGTTTAACAGTCCTCTAAGATAGAACAATTTGATCCCCATACCACACATAGTAGTATGAGAAAGTAGTGATTACATTCACCTAGAAAGTTAATGACCGATGTGAGTTTTGATTCACAGGTCCCTTTCTTAAAGAGTACAGAGTTTCAAGTGTGCTGCCTGATGCATGTCTGTTGAACAATTAACTGCACAGATAACAGTCTATTCACATAGCAAGAAGCATACTTTAATAATGTCGCATTAATATTTGTACTTCAATATTCATCTTTTACCATAGTGACTACATTTTAGGTGGTGAAGTTATATAATCTAGTTATGAAGGCTGCAACCTTGCCAGTTACATATGCTGTCATTTTGTTTCAAAATGCTCAGGAATGCATGTTTATTCCAGGTATTTTTAATTGTTAGGTGATCAGAGTAACAGCTTCTGGAAAGTTTTTTATGATGCATGTTGAGAGCTACTAGGAAATCTAAAAGCCAGTTTACTAGATGGCTAGGCATTAGCCATTCTGACCAATATAGCTAATATTGGTTTTAAAGAATGTACTTAAATATGCGTTTCCCTCTTGTGGTATGTCATATTCTTCAATAATTTTAGCCATCATTCTATTCTCGTCTGCCTCCTATGTTATCCTGTTGCACACTTTACAAGGTGTAGGTGTTTGAGTAGTAGAACCAAATTACAAACATGGAAATAATTTGGGAATATAATTTAACAGTTTGGGCATAATACTTTAGCTATGTAACAAAACTAATGTGATGAAGAAGCTATTTGATCATCTCAGACAAAGCTTGTTAAAATAAATTTCCTACTCTAGTATCTAATCACAAGGACTAGTATCCAAAATTCTACCTTGAATCATACAAGGAATATGAACTACTCCGGTAGGGTTTATCCACTTGCTTTCTTTGAACAACTTATCCCCTTGTATTTGTCAAGGCCACTGGCTTTTGAAACTCGCATCTATTTCAACAGCTTTCCCATAGGATCAGCTGATTGCAAAAGAGCTAAAACCACATTGGAGTTGTAGGACTATGTTTCATGGTTTTCTGGATCCTTGTCAAGATAAAGATAAGCTAGAAAGAAATTTCTGGTGGAAGAGCAGTGAGCACCAGTTGCATCATTATTGGTCTGTCTCATCCACTAACATTTTGTATGTCTCATGCAAGTTTTTTTTAGTTACATATGTATTGGATGTAATTCACTTCTGGATTATCAATATAAAAATGCAAAAGTAATTTGCTGGAACTAACTGACTGACTTCTGTTTCCAGGTGGGCCATGCACAGATACAGCTCATGTCTCCTTAACCACAGCAATCAAAAGATCTTGTGATTCAGGTAAATCTTAAATACTTAGAAAATATGTTAAACTGCATGATAAAGAAGAATCTAATATTCAAATATAAGACTGATAAACAAGGACCAGGCTTGGGTGAGCTGCCACTCTAGATATTTGATTCATGATAATTATTTAAAATGTAGAGGCAGTCCAAGGATATGACAAACAAAATGCATCCAATCTCCAGCTTGTTAACTAGTTCCATGAATTTATTTAAATATTTATGTCCCACTTCTCCAAATCTTAAGATGGATTCAAAAAATGATGACAATGATAAAATTTGCAACAGCACAATCCAGCAGTGTCCAATTGGTAACAACAGGTCCCTCAGAACAGGTGGCTTTTACAACCATTCCAGAAAGCTACAGGATTGCAACAGCTCCAGAAATGGTACTCAAAATATCTAACAAGAATAACATGCAGATTAAAAACAACACAAAAAAATAGCAGATGTTAAAAGGCAGAAGGAAAACGGCACATTACCGATTCAAAAACTCTTCTACAGCAGACAAGAGTACTTGCCATCTATCTACCATTTTGTCAGGTAAAGGTATGAGAAAAATATAAGACGTGTATTGTCATGTATAAAAGGGAGCAAATCTAAGCCAATGACACATCAGACATAGAACCCCTAAGGCTAAGGATGACCCCATCATGAATATATCACTGCTATAGTTCTAAGGGAAAATAATTAACACCCATCCTAAGCTTAAGGGAGGCATTAAGGGTATCATACAATATAGCAGTCGCCCACAGGATTATAGGTGGGTAATGTGGAAGGACAATTGGCTCTATTCTCCTCCCATCCTGGAAAAGACATAGACAACCAATTTCAGCTGTTTAAGTCTTTTGCCACTCCTTCCCACTTGCTTGTAACTTTGGAGCCCACTTGCATGTAACTTTGTAATCTTGGAAGGAACAGCACCAGCTGCCAAGGTGGAAGGAGAGCACTGCATCATTTGAGTTCCACTTCAATCTCAGAACATACTTCCATGGTCAGTGCTAAGAATCCAACCTTTCCTTTTATGGTTTAGACACCATCTAGCAGCCATAGGATTGCACTCTAAATCTATTTCCATTGAAACCCTTAAGTAGCTTCAGAGCTGTTTTACTATATGGCCACAATGTCAGTTCCAGGAAATAAGCAGCAGGCATCCTCAACTGGAACACCAGGACTAGGGATAATGGAGATGGATGGAGAACTTGGTAAGACACAGCATTTATTTATTTATTTGGAACACTTATATGCCACCGCATTCGCAAAAGCCTCGGGGCAGCTTCCAATACAAATAAATAACTATACAGATATGTAAAATACATAAAAATCTGGAGACAAAAATATGAAATCAATAAATAATTCAACAATTAAAATGACGTTTAAATAAAAAGGTCTTGGCCTGGCGCTGAAAAGCAAATAACGATGGCGCCAGGCAGACCTCTCTGGAGAGCACATTCCATAAGTGGGGCACCACCGCAGAGAAGGCCCTCCTCTGGGTACTCACCCTCCTAATATCTTTCATGGAGGGTTCCCAGAGAATGGCCTCTGCCGCCGATCTCAAGGGGCAGGAGGGCAAATAGGAGTAGGGCCAGAGGAGGAAGCAGAGTCAAGAAAGTCTGGAAGAAGAAACCAGATCAGGAGCACAAAACAGCCACCACAAAGGTTCATGTTGCTGTAACAAAGCTAGGCAGAAGCCTTTTATGGAGTCTGCTGTGGCTTCTAGCTGATCTTTGTGATTGCACTGATCCTAATCCTGCAAGTGTCTACAGATCTGATTCTCATCCTGCAAATACTTACAAAATCGGCTAGGCCACTAGGGGAAGCTGCATCATTCAGCAAATCCTGACACAGAAACCCTCTGAAGCAAAGGTGGAGAATTTCCGGTATTCCAGTGGCCAGTTTCACCCCCACTGTGGCCACTGTCCATAGAACACTTAGTGGAAAAAAGCCAGAATTACTGGTTTGGTCCCATATTTCTATAGCAAATCACAATACAGCACTACAGGGTACTTTTAGTTGTTACATTTACTTTGTGTCTAATCTGAATTTTCCCTTTGGCCATTTGAGCACTCTGTCCACCCTGGATGACATTGGTGGGGGTTTTGGGGGGAGGGAATTTTAAAAAAAGATGGCGGGGGAACAGGATCTGTAATAGAAAATTGTCCACCCCTGCCTTTCAGGCTTAAAATATCAACTTAACTATTAAAAATCAAGGCATTTATGCTAGGCAGTTAGCAGACTAATTTGTTGTGTATCATTAGTATTCGCAAGCAAAATGGAGTCATGCGCAGTCCTGGCCACTGATGACTGTTTGTAATTCAGATTAGAAATGTCTGCAGTTGTTAAAATGGATAATAATTTTTGGAAAGTTGGGAAGATGGTGACTGACTTAGACTGTTCAGAAATTGTGATCCATAACATTAATTCTGTCATATTTGCTAGCTAGTATAATATGAACAGTTTTATCTTAAGATGAAAATGAACGGAAAAATGTAAATTCTAGCATCTAAATTCTAGCATCTTGACTGCTGCTTTACATGCTGACATACTGGGGTTCAGCCAGTCTTGTATATCCCAGTATTCTGTTCTCTAATTTTCTGTACCTAAATAACCAGCTGTGGCTGATGGAGAAACAGAACTTCATCCCATCCCACTGTTAGCAGTTTAGATGTCCCTGATACTTTAATGGCACTGACTTGGTAATTTCACATTCTATCCAAAATATCACACACAAATGAGATATTTGAGATATCTAGATCTTTTAATTAGGTATTAAAATACAAAACAATTGAGGGCAAGAGAAAGCTGATTTGATGTTGACATTATGTTATCTGCGTCATCAGAATCTTAAGATGGAATGGAGGAAGAACTGCAGACCATCAGAAAATGTTTCAGCAGGTGATGTGATGGTCTCAGATTTCACCTGCATTTGCTAGAGCATTCCCTTGGGCCACAGGGAGGAAGAAACTCAAATGTTTGATCATCCATTTTTGATAATATGAAATCCAACTCTATACTCAAATGTCTCCATCTCATATGAAACACATAAGCTTTATTGGCAGTGGAAACAGAGAGAAAATAGTCTGTTATTAACAAAGCTGGAGATGATTTTAGATAATGCAAATGTAGGTGAAAGACCAATAGAAACCTTATTGAATAGTTTTACCTAGTAGTTGGAGGGGATGAATCCTCAGAGTATAAAGTCTCAGTTTGGGGTGATATAAAATATTCTTCCTCCAAGTATAAGATACATGCTTTGTTAGTGTAATGCCATTATTAGATTTACCTAAAATTACAATTTTTATGAAGTTTCAGTTGATGCCATAATGGTCTTATACTACTATGTAGAATTTTGCTTTTCGTATAAAACGTTTATATTCTACATGGCACATAAAAGCTGTTGACATTTCCTTCATTCATAGCAATGCTTTTCTCATGTTGGACACTGTAGGAGAGAAGGTCATAAAAACTATATGAATTTGAATATCTTTTTAATTCTTGCATTACTGCATATGAAACTGCTACCCTGCAAGGAGAAATGCAGTTTGTCAGTATGGAAACTGAAGTGGAACGTAAGTGGGCAATGTTGACCTTTTCTGTGGAAGAACTTGACTTATTAAATCTGTTTTGTTTACAAAGTCATCCCACTTGGCTTTATTACATATGTTGACAGGTAAAATATAGTTTGCCTCTTACTACCATAATGTATAATTGCAAGAAAAATAGTCAGTCAGATACACTTCGTTAATGAATGCATATAAAGTAAGTCCACAATAATTTTTGTTTGGATTGTACTTCTTAGATGTGAATAAGCTTTCAGTGCCACTGATGATGATAATTTAATTGGAAATGCTTGGAGGTAAATGCAGTAGAAATATGAAATACAATGAACAGTTCCTGTGGTTTGGCTGTACGTTTAAGCTCCCTCTTTCATGCTCACTTTTTATCATGTGTAATGTGTCCAATAAGGACAAAAAGATGTGATCCTACCGTTAATTAGGTATTGTATTGCTCTGCAGTGGTAAAGTGTCTGTGCTAACAGTATAAAAAAGGTTAGTGAGGCTTTTTATTATAAAAACAACTTTGAGAGAATTTTGTTGTTCAGTTGACCTTTAAGATGCTCTTTAAGGAACTGTTTAGTATTTGAGGGGTGGAATTTAGCACTCTCTTACAAATTCTGCTACCTTTAGGCCTTCTCACTGGGAGGCATGTGATGATAGAACAAAGGTGCACTGTACATCTTCAGACTTGGCAGTGACAGTGCCTATTAATGACACTTTTTTTTACCCTGTTCAGTTCTTGGTTGTACTAATAGAACAGCACATCAAGCAAGGCTGTAAATAAAAGTTATTACCTAATAGCTGGTCACTGAAGTGGAACGTACAGGAGCTGAGGCACAGAGGCCTTATTACTGCTCATCAGCAATTATAAACAGGATAAAGTGTCCAGAACTTGCACTGACACAGCAAGGGCTAATAGAGGCTGGGAGATGGTAATGTACTAGGATAGCATGATAGATATTGATAGAATTTTACTGTCTCATTTTGCTGGCTATTTTTGATATCGCTTGTATTATCTCTTCTATATTTTTGGGGAGAGAGACAAATCGGTTTCCTCTTCTGCCAAAATGCAGAGAAAAGCTTTATATTCATTGCATTGGATACCATAAGTTGTCTTTAAAATAATGAAGAAAACTGCCTTGTTTACTAAATATTAAAACAACTGTGGCGGGCATAAGTTGCCCACAAAAATGGGATGCAGGGAGCTAAAATTGTTTATCTGTCTTGTCCTCGGTTCCCCTGATCATGCTAATATTTATTTGGTTTCTTTCTATTTTAAAGATTTCTAGGCTGCCTGTTTAGCTGGGATTCTATTTGGGCAACAATCTAGCTGGCCCTCGCCTCCGAGAGTTTGCTCTTGGAGGATATGATGAAGAATGTTCACACAAGTATCTAAAGCCTTTCTTACACAGTTAAATTACTACAGCTAACTAAAGTACAT